GCCAGTTAGGTTAGAAAAAGAAATAAAAAGCACCAGCTTGGAAAGGAAGAAATAAAATTCTCTGTGTTTGATAATGACATGATCTTGTGTATAGGAAATCCTAAGGAATCACCAAGGAGCTATTGAGGATAATAAATGAATTCAGCAAGGTTGCAGAATATAAGAACAATATATAAAATCAATTGTGTTTCTAAACACTAGCAATGAGCAATATAAAAATAAAATTAAGAAAACAATTCCACTTACAACAGCATCAAAAATAAGAAAACACTAAGGAATAAATTTAACAAAAGTGTAAGACTTGCATGTGTAAAACTACAAAACATTGTTGACAGAAACTAAAGAGGACCTAAACAAATGGAAATACGTCCCACACTTATGAACTAGAAGACTTAATATTAAGATAGCAATATACCCCAAATTGTTCTACAGGTTCAGTGCAATCCCTATCAAAACCCCAGTTTTCTTTCTTTCTTTTTTTTTTTCATAATTGTCAAGATGATCATTGAAAGAAGAGACAGGATGCGAACTCCACAGTCCAAGCAGGTTTATTGCTGAACCTGAGAGGGACCCCTCTGTCCTGGCCAGCAGAACAAAGGGAAGAGTCTCTTACAGGCTTAAGCGGCTTTTTACGGCCAGGGTTTTCTGGCGGGCTCTTTGAGGGGAGGGGTCAGGGGAAAAGTGGGCATGTGGTTTGCTGACGTGTCCTCTGGAGAATGTTTGTAGCCTAAGTGAGATGACATCTAGGTCTCTCTGAGATGGTGGGTGGGCTTATTCGAAAGGTGGTACTCAGGTCCAGATTCTATCAATCATAAAGTTCATATGGAACTACAATGGAAGCAGAATAGGCAAAACAGTTTTGAAAAAGAACAGATTTTGATTTTGAAGACTCGTGCTTCCCAATTTCAAAATTTACTACAAAGCTACTGTAGTTGACACAGTGTGGTACTGGCATAAAGATACTTATTGATAACTGGAATAGAATTGTGTCAAAAAATAAACCATCATGTTTATGTTCAGTTGACTTTTGACAAGGGTGCCAAATCAACTTAATGGGGAAATAGCAGTCTTTTCAAAAAATTATTCTGGGACAAGTGGAAATCCACATGCAAATGAATGAATTTGGACCCCTTCCTCACGCAATATGCAAAAAGTTAATTCAAAATGGATTGAAGACTTAAATATGAGCTAGAGCTATCAAACCTGGAGAAGAAAGCACAGGTGTAAATCTTTGTGACCTTGGATCGAATGATAGTCTCTTATGGCAGCAACAGTACAAACAACAAAATGAAACATAAATCGGACTTCACCAAAATGAGAAACTATTGCTCTAAGCTCTGCACAGTTTGGCTTTTAGTGCAGTCAAGCATGCAATGCATACACACTCTGCAATTTTTCCTGCAATCCGTCTTTCCAGGGCACTCTTGAAACCAACTAGAGATTGATTAAATACCCTGTGAAATCTGAACTTCAACATGCAAGCAGGAGTTAGGATTGTGTTTTCAAAGCTCACAGATGTTTTTGGATTAGATCTTACATGGCGGCTTAATAAAAATTTCCTGTATAATATTCTAACTGCAGTTTGTTCTGCCAGAATCCACACTACCCTACAGTACTCTTGTCAGATATAAAAACAGAAAATAAAAATCTGTCCAACTTTCAAGTTGCCATCTTCAGCCAAATTGAAAATGAGAGCAGAGGCATTGAAGATAAAGACTGGATGGTAATATCCACGATTAAAGGAAGCTTCAACTCTGCATTTCTGCTTAGGGAAAAGTGATTTCCAGGGTCAGAGTTCTCGGGAATCGATAAGGGGAAGTCCGAGAGGTCATAAAGACCATTGCTGAAGTAATCCAAATATTTGACTCTGCCAGTAGCTGAGAGCAAGAGCGTAGAATGGGGATTGGCAAACCTTAACTTTGTGAATAAAGTTTTATTGGCACCCAGCCATGCTCATCTATTTACATATTTACATAGTGTCTATAGCTGAATTCTCACTAAAACAGCTGAGCTGAGTAGTTTTGACAGGGACTATATGGCCTGCAAAACCCCAAATATTTACTATCTGACCCTTTACAGAAAAAGTTTGTCAATTCCTGCTGAATAACATCAGTACATCAATCCAGATCTCTCCATTTAGATGTCCCGCAGACAAATCTAACTCAGCAGGTCTGGAAATGCATGCATCTCCATAATCCTGTTTCAGCTTCAATGTTCCCACTCTCAGTAAAAACTATAATGTAACTTTCAACTATAGTCTAAAAAGGTACAGCTTTTTAGAAACAGAATTAAATCAATTAGAGATGCTAATATCCACCAATTCACCCAAAAGAGAAGCCTCCCTCGCCTTTACCCCCACAGCCTGTCTATTGCTTCACTCCCCATTCATCACCTCCTTACTGTATTTCAAGTCCAAGCACATCATGCCATTTCCACTGCCATTATCTTAGTCCAAGTGACTCTCATTTGTGCAAGATTGACAGCAGTTTTCTAACTGGTCTTCCTGCCTCTACTTTTGCCTACCTTCGGCCCCCAATTCATCTTCCATTCAATAACCAGAGGATCTCTCTAATGTCGAAATCTGATACTGTCACATGCATAATAACATATGCATCTAACATTTAATAGGCTCTTACCATATGCTAGGAATAGTTCCAAGTGCTTCGTATGTAGTAATTGATCTTACTCCCCACACCAACTCTATCTGGTAGACACTGTTATCTCCATTAAGCTAAGACACTGAAGAGCAGAGAAAACCAATGCAATCTAGCTCCAGAGGCTTCAGTCTTAACGACTATAATCTACTATACTGCTTGATCTATTGTACTTCTCTAAACACACACACACACTGCTATGGCTGCCCATTGCTCTTAAAACAAGCCATACTATTTATGATGGCCAAGTTCTGTCACTTGGATCTTCTGTAACCCCCCTCTGCCCCTCATCTCTTGCCATTTACAGCCTTGCAGTTTAAGCTGCAGCCACCGCAGGCTTCTCTAGTTTCCATATAAGGCATGCTCTTTTTCACTTCTGTGCTTTTAGTCATGTTACCCCTTCTGCTTCGACTATTTACTTCCTGTCTCCTTCCTCCCCTATACCTAGTCAACTTCTATACACCCTTTAATGCCCCACTCAGGCACTGCCTTGTCTGGAAGCCCTGGCCGAGCAATCCAGACTTGCCCTCCTATGTGCTCCCATTATGGTTTGTTGATGCCCATTTTAGTGCCCTTTCTACACTGTTTTATAACTGTCTTCTTATACATCAGTCTCCCTCACTAGAATGTGCCCTCCTAGGGCTTTTCCCAGTGTATCCAAATACCTTGCTTTATCCTTCTACTTTTCTGTACTTTTTTTCTAGGACTTTTCATCCCAGACTCTGGCATAGACTATAATGCCAAGAAGGGTAGAAAGGGACCAATGGTTTTGTCTTTTTGTGAGTGAATGTGTGAAAAGGAGATGTGAGGACATAAAGGGGATCATGAAATCTTTGGAAAAAATAAGATTGCATGATAAAAAGAATTTAGAGCTTACTTTTCATTGTTTTATAATATTTCATTGTTTTATAATATTAAACTGCTAGACCCCCAAATATATAATGGCTCAAACACAATAGAATTTTCTCAGTCATGTGACAGTGCGATACAGGTATTCTTGGTCAGCAAGATGGTTCTCCATGCGGTCACAGAGGAACACAAGTTGACAGAAGCCCCTGGGTCATCCTGGGTTACCACATCCCAGTCAGCCAGAAGGGGAAATAACATGGAGGAGCACACATGGAAGACTTTCATAGGCCAGGCCTGGAAGTGCCACTCTTCATTTCTCTGAATATTTCATTATTAGGAACTTAGTAGTGTGGCTACACCTTACTGCAGTGGAGCCTGGGAAATGTAGTCCAGCTGTGTGCTCAAGGAAGAGAATGGTTTTGGTGGGAAGCTAGTGACCTTCTCAGACACACTAACAGTAAAGTTGGGCTAGTTTACCTTGTTGGATAAGTGATGGGAGAATTTTATTTCCTTTTTATTAGTAAGCTATATGGTGCATCTCTGTTTAACCTTTCCCATGGAAAGCTAGAAAAGTCAAATATAGACTGTGTTCAGAATCAAGGCTGACAGTTGAGCTCCCTATTGAGTTCCTTACCCAGAAGGAGCAGCTTGAGGGTGATTTGCAATGTTGGTGATTTCTTAAGTATTAATCACTGACACTTTGTAGACTGCCTTTAACTAAAATCTCAGGCGGGTTAGTATACAATATTATAATATTGGCCCCCAAATATATTTCCTCCTTTGCATGTCTAGACTAGAGAGGGTATTAAACAGATGGCAAAATAGCAACCAGATTCATTCCTAGCCAACCAAGAGGTGTTCAAAACCAAAGGAGAAAAAAGACAAAATTAAAAACGGAACTCATTTCCATTCCAAACCATAGCCACAGTAACAAGCTTATTCCCTGTCAGTTTGCATTTGCCCAGAGTGCACATTTGTGGATGACCTCATGTAAGCTCGGGGAAGGCATAAAAGTGAATCAATTTGAAATGAAATATTCCCATGATTCTCTGCTAATAAGCATGTAAATTCCCAGGAGAACTTTGTAAAACAGCTTCCTGGGCCCTAGCCCTCACACCCCACACCCCAGAAGCTCATTTCTTTAGTGTGTGCTCTGACCTGGAAATTGAATATTTTATATTCCCTAGATGAGTCTGATCTAGGTTTTGGGAACCATTTCTCTAACATGACGGGTAAGGGAATAGAGAGGCATGCCAAAGCACAAACAGAACAGAGTGATTTTGTTTAGCATATGAAACAAATAACCCTAAGGAAAATCTAGTCTCATAGCTTGACATGTAGAGCCATCTCTGGGGTTAGACCCATTCACGGAAACCTGGAAAACAGGCCTCTTCTGGGGACTGGCCATGCAGCTGTATATAAACTAGAAGAGGTATTATGAACAAAGACTTCCCCCTGAACATCCCAAGTGCCTAACTTGTTTTCTTCTTTTCCCAGTTTGTTGCTCAGCCTAATTGCCAACAGTTGCTTGCCACTCTGTGGTATGATGGCTTCCCTGGATGGCGGCGGAAACACTGGGTAGTCAAGCTTCTTACCTGCATGACCATTGGGTTCCTGTTTCCCATGCTGTCTATAGCTTATCTGATATCACCCAGGAGCAACCTTGGGCTGTTCATCAAGAAACCCTTCATCAAATTTATCTGCCACACGGCTTCATATCTGACCTTCCTCTTCATGCTTCTCCTGGCTTCTCAGCACATCGTCAGGACAGACCTCCATGTACAGGGGCCTCCCCCAACTGTCGTGGAATGGATGATATTGCCTTGGGTTCTTGGTGAGTCAAAGGAACCAGGAGCTATGGCCAGACTGACTGCTGGTCTTGTCTAAAGAAACTACTGGAATAGGCAGTTGGACTGGCCCTGAACTAGGGCACATTCTCTCTGTGCAGTAGGGAGGTGCTTTGTTGGGAGTCTTGGAAATGTGGTTTCTTCTTACCCAGACCCTGGTCACTCAGTACTGCATGGTCTACAGTGAGATTGGCAGTGCCTCCAGGGCTTGCTTCTGCCAACCTAACATCTTCAGGGACAGAAAGTTCTCTGAGAGTTGGTTTAGACGGAAAGCCAATAATCAGTCAGGACAGGCCTTGGGTAAGCTAGGCAGGGCAAGTGCTGATCGGCATATTCAATGCTTTCTATCTTATAACTGGGGAACACTTGGATCCGCTACTTTCTCAGGGCTACTCCACACAATCCCAGTACTTATTCAGGGTCCACATCTTATTTGGATACTAATTCCAGAATCAGGAGGGGAATCTGGTAAATTCACATACTTCATGGTAAAAGTAGCTTCACCAGTAATCTCCAGGCATACTTAGATTGACCTGGACCCTCCAATACATTGCCATCCTCCAAGTCTTTCCTACTTAAAGTGCAGTCCTCAAACCAGCAATGTCAGCATGACCTGGGAGCTTGCTAGAAATACAGAATTTCAAGTCCCACCCTACATCTCTGGAATAAGAATCTGCATTTTACCATGATCCCAGGTGATTCACATGCATTTTAAAGTCTGAGAAGCACTGCCTTAGACCACAGCCACACCTTTTACTGCTTTCCACATTCCAAGACTGAAGAAACATCTATGTCATCAGACAGAATTCCATGAAATCGCCCCACAATGAAAGAAGCAAGGAGAAAAGAGGATTCTAAATTACTCTGGGCCCCACTGCCTAGCTTCCGCCCCCAAACCCAGGAATTTTATGGTCATCTCTCTCACCTCAGAGCTCACTGAGAATGTTTCTCTCTAGCACATCATGATCATGGAAACTAAAGACTATGGGATAATATCAATCTAATTCATTTATTAATGAAATTAATTCCACTCCAAAGTGGGAAGAGGATAGAATCAGTCACCCAAAATTGTAACAGCATTCCAGTAACCATAGTAATGATGTTAAAAGTGAATAGTATCCACAAAAGTATAACATATGAGCATCTTCAGGGAAAGCTTATCAGGTGTGGCAAGTTCAAGACTGGGAAGTGAGGTAGGAAAGAAAAAGAGGTAAGCGATTACTATCTTGAGGGGCTTCACTCCACTGACCTCAATTCATTCACTGATTTCACCTTTCTTTACTTAGGGGAATCCTACTATGGTAACCATGATGCCTATTCTGACCCTGGGTAGGAATAAACCCTTTGCCTCCATTCTTCAGGTTTCATCTGGGGGGAGATTAAGGAAATGTGGGATGGCGGATTTACTGAATACATCCATGACTGGTGGAACCTGATGGACTTTGCAATGAACTCACTCTATTTGGCAACTATTTCCTTGAAGATTGTGGCCTATGTCAAGGTAACTTGGAATGTCTGCCATTTTTCTTAGGCAATGATTTCAGTTATGTTAAGCTTTACACTGGGAGCATAAAGAGTTTAGAGGAAAAGTGCTGATGACAGTCCAATCCATGAGGAAAAATACCATATAAACAGACATTCTTTTGATGGTTTGTCAGCAGTGTCCACCTAGGCAAAGAAGAGAATGGAACAATTTGCAAATGAATCCTTAGCTTATTAAACTCTGAGAATAAAAGGGTATTCAGCCACCCATCCATCTAGTCAGTGTTTAACTCCTGTCTACAACATCCTTACCAGGAAGATGATCCACCAATGCTTGCATAGGGCAAGGACAGAAAATTCACTGAATTCACAATCATCAAAAGCCTCTCTCAACCCGTCACTTAATTAGAAAGCACTACTTTATATATTTCTAATATTATTCTCCCTGTGACACATCCATTGCAATCCTTCTTTCCTGTGGGGTCAAACAGAACAAGGCTGTTCCTTCTCCATTACAGCACTTCTGATATGAAGTCATCTCTCTATCACACATTGAGTTGTCTCTTCTCAAAGCTAAATATTCACACTTCCCTTAAGTGTTCTTCCTATGGGAGGTACCAGAACCCTAGAAACTTCACTAGGGAGACATAGACCTTTGGTTGTCTCTGACTATCATCACTTGGACCACCAGGATGATCATTCAAGCTGTTATAAGCCCAGCTTTTTGAATATCACCCAACCTATGTCTTTCTTCCAATTCAGATAATGTATACATACACACACACACACAACCTTGATCTTTTCCTGAACAATGTACTACCTGAATTATCCCAAAGAAATAGCTTTATTTCTAACACCTCACACTGGGTAGTGACAGGCTCTGAGTTCATGTTTGGTGCTCATTAGCTAATGGAATGCCTGTACTCCTTCTACCCTGGGTTGAATGCCTCCTTCATGAGGAAAGGCTGGCAATTCAGTCTCCAGGACTGTCTAGTTAGTCATGCTTTCTGGCACTGAATTCCACATTAAGGAGTTTTAGAATGGAAATATGGCTGTCCCCCAAAGCTCCAACTACTTCGTTTATTTTTATATCCCTAATATGCATACTGAATACATTTTAAGACCTTTGGAGTTAGTTATATGGAACATGAATGTTGAATGCAGTCATGAATCATTTTTGAAAGAAGCCTAGGAATATGCCTTATACTTGTGTTGGTAATTTAACACATACTTACAACTACCTTACAAGAAAAAGCTGGTGAGGAAAATGTTTGACTCTCTGGTTAATGCGCCTGGATAAAATCCATGTCATTTTGGCACAATGCTAAGTAATACTGTTAGCCTAAAGAAAAGCACATTTCTTCCTTTGGAAGTGGTATTTATACACTGGAGGGACAATAAATTATCAATTTTTAATTGGTAGGTTTTGCTTAAACAGGAAAGTTTAGAACAAGTGATCAAGAAAAGGATTAACTCTTGGGGATGTGAAAATGTGTCTGTAGATGCCCCAAATTAGCTAATCACATAACCTGCCCAACTTCACTGATAAGGCTTCCAAGGATCTAGATACTTCCCCACTACAGAGTGTAAGGATAAATCAGCAACATTAAGCTGAATAAATGTCCCTCAATTGACAAACACTTAACTCAAAGGAGACATTTGCCAAGAGGTTGGGGTCCTTCTCAAAAAAGGAGAATTTACAAAGCCAGAGATGCTACATGCATACTTTGGGTTTGCAATGAGAAATTATAAAAGAGTAGATTGGTCCACTCATCCACAGAGGCACACCAGTCTGAGATGAGTTTCTCCAAATAGACATAGCCAACATCTATGAGATAAAGCCAAAAGAGCTGATCCCCAGGCCCCTGGAAATATTTCAGATTACCATTGTACTGAATCAGTACAGAAATGCCATGGGATAAGATAGCCTTAAAGAAGATCCTCTGTTAGAGCAAAAAAGTAGTCAGTGATACGTGCTCCATTTCACATGGTCTGCAACAATAGGAATCAGAAGGCACACACCAGAACACTTGAAAGGAAAAAATACACATGAGATTGGCCCTCAGTGCCCCTAGATAATCCAAGAAATGGAGAATAATTGTCCTTTTGACTTCTAGGATCATCTAGATTTATCCCATCACCCCCTTTACTTGCATATATACAGACTGAATCAGCACTTGGATACTTATTGATTTGTGGTCGTTTCTTCAATCATTACTTGGCTGAAGACATAATCCCCTCACCATCCTTGTTACAATTGAGTCCCCACATTTTGCTGGCCTTCATATTTTGCTTTTGAGTTGACAATAAAATTTACACCCCTTTGAAAGGCATGGAGGCCAATTTGCCAACTGCTTCCATCTCAAAGAAAGTAAAAAAATCACTTGCCTCCCAGTATCACTAACTCAAGAATCAGGAAACCTGAATTTAATCCCTGCTCTGATAGTCATGAGCTAGATTACCATAGATCATCCTTCTACTTCCCTGAGCCTTAGGTTCTACCTCTTAAAAATAAGAAGATTGAACTAGATCAGTGGCTTTCAACCTTTTAATTTTTTCCATGGACACACATTTTGAAGTTGAAACTTATGCAGAGCTTTAATATGTTAAAGAGCTCACAGACTGAGCTTGAACTGAGGAATGAGCTTCTAGGCCTCCTCTTTGGCTCGTACAGAAGCCACCCGATACTTCCATTGGGCCTTCATGCTTCAAGGAACACAGTTTGAAAACCACTTGTGTTAGATCAGGGGTCAGCAAACTATGGTCTGCAGGCCAGACTTGGTCTGCTGCCACATCCATTTGTTTATGTATTGCCTATTAGTTCTACAAAGAAAGAGTTGAGTAGTTCCAACAGGGACCATAGAGTCCACAAAGCCAAAAATATGCACTCTGGTCCTTGACAGGAAAACTTTGCTGACCTCTATGCTAAATGAGCTCTAAATTTATTCCCTGCTCTCATATTCCATAATATTTTTCTCCATAGGTATATATGCAAAGCATAGACTAGCCACCAGAATCATCGTTCATACTTCTGAGTGTTCTGCAAATCCAGGCTCACAATCCCCTGGGCAGCAGACTTTCCTTTGGTTATAGCTGTAGCTGTGGAGAGAGAAAACCCTAAATTATGAGCTATACATGTTCCTGCTGATAATTTCTGGTTTTAAATTATTAGTCTGTTTTGTTATCAGCAAGAGTCTCCATCTCTCACATATACTTCAAAACCTTTAAAGGCCTATCTAACGTTTGTGCTGTAATACCAACAATTATATCAGTAACACTTAATAAAAACAGTGGTAGATTGAGTGTTTAGACACATGAATTTCAGTCCTGGCTCTGATACTAACATACTGTGTGATCTTAAGCAAGTCACTCTGCCTCTCTGAATTTCAGTTCCTCTGCATGTAAAACAGGAATAACAATGCCCACCCATCATAACGATGCAGCAAATATTTCTTCGGAAGAAAAAATGTAGAGATACAAGATTTGGCCAAGAGTGTACAAAGCTGATTGACCACCTAAAATCTATCTGAAACAGAAGTATGAGTGTGGCAAAGTTTCTCCAAACTCCTCTGACTGTGAAGAACATTGGATACACACAAATGATTTTAATAACACATTTCCTCAGTTGTTGGATATGAAGCACATTTTAGAAATGCTAACAACATAATTGGGCCCCCAGTGCAATGTTTTCTCAGGAAACTTGTTTACATTTAGTACTGAAAAATTGTGATATTTAGATAAGAGCTCAAGGCAATATGCTTCAGACTGAATTCCAGGCACTATCTACTTCTGTCTTGGGGAAGGTAATAAGCAATTTCTTACATTTCCATACATTTTCCCTTTTGGAGTACACAGACTTTCACATATGGATACATAATCACAAATGTGTGCAGCATGCAGCAGTAGATATTGTCCTCATTCTATAGTGAAATTGAGAGATGGAGGCAATTTTAAGTAAAAAAAAAACAAATTAGACCTCAGTTCTCACAATGAAGCCATATTTCTACATGATAACCCCTAATGTTCTAGGAGCTTGAAGTCCAGGATAAAGCTAAAAATGGGCAATAAATCCCTGAAATACTGGCTCTTCCCCTCCTTCAATGCCCTGGTTCTTTATTTGTGCTGGAGGGACATTCAAACTTGAAGAGCTGTCAGAGGATCAATAAAATAAATCCAGACACCACTGTGTGGGGCAATATTAAATCTGCTACCTAGAAGGTTGGCATGCCATTTATGGAATACATTACAGACTGCTAAAAATTCAGCAAATGTGAAATCTCATCAGGAAGCAGAGTTATTTGTCCCCACTATCTTGGGCATACGAGTGGCTTTGTTCCAGTAACACTTCCCAACAATCTGGTAAACTCACAGTTAGAAAATGTCGTCTGTTGGTAAACCACAGGTGGTTGCTCCAATTTTTCTGTGTGTATATGCTGGGCATATATTTGGATGGGAGTGGGAGGAAGAGGGTTATTAGCATCATGTATCGATTAGGTAGGAAAATAAGACTAATAGTGCCATGCATGGGGCCTGTTATATAGATGAATGCTTGATGCTTACTTTCATGCTTTTTTGAGGGGGTACAGAGGGAGGAAAGAGAGGAAAAGTCTTATAAATGTGCAGTGTACCTCTCATCTTGTGCACCTGTTGTTTCTTTCAGTATAATGGTTCTCGTCCAAGGGAAGAATGGGAAATGTGGCACCCAACGCTGATTGCAGAAGCACTCTTTGCAATATCCAACATTTTAAGTTCACTGCGTCTCATATCCCTGTTCACAGCCAACTCCCACTTAGGGCCCCTGCAGATCTCTTTGGGGCGCATGCTACTTGATATCCTCAAATTCCTCTTTATCTACTGCCTGGTCCTGCTGGCCTTTGCTAATGGATTGAACCAGCTTTACTTTTATTATGAAACTAGAGCAATTGATGAGCCGAACAACTGCAAGGGGATCCGATGTGAGAAACAGAACAATGCATTCTCCACGTAAGACTCCCCGCCTCCTTTTTTGCCTTTTGCTGCCTTCTCCTTTGTCCTATTTCCAGTCCCCAGCTTCATCACTGCCTCTTAACAGTGCATGGAAAGCACACTTATGGATTAGCCTGAAGGCTCTCAAGTGGAGAAAAGGAAATGAGGAAAGAGACAGACACAGACACACACATGAGCTCCCGGGAGCTCACCTAAAGAGTTAGTTATGAACTATTTTGGTAGCATTCCTTATTTTTAAAGGAATTAATGGGAAAAGGGTAAATAATTGCTCACTCAAAAAAGCACCACTAACCCAGGAAATGAAACAGCAAGGCCATTCCTCTGAACAAGTGATTACAAAGCAAACTATTCTGAATCAAGAACAAAGGAAAACAGAAGAATGCAAAAACACCTTAATGCACCCCATGATATTGTGATTTATAATAAGAAATATGCATCTGGTCTTTGTCCCCATTTCTAGCCCAGAGCTCCTAAAGCCCTCGGACTTCCCAAGTGATGAGAGCAGTAATGGAGCCTTTTGTTGTGTTAGTAAGGTGACTTTAGGAAAGCACCTAAGGATGTGTCCTGGTTGCCAGTGGGGCCAGCCATGTGACTAGTGGGTTGGAACTTTTAGTCCCACCCCTCTACCTCTGAAGAGTTAGGAGGGGCCAGAGATTGAATGCAGTCACCAGTGACCAAATATTTAATCAATCTAGCTTCTATTAAAAAACCAAAAGGACAGGTTTTGGAGAGTTTCCGGGTTAATGAACACATGGAGAACTGGGGAGAGTGGGTGCTTGGAGACAGTGTGGAAGCTTTATGCCCTTTCACCGTATTTTGCTCTAGGCATCTCTTCCATCATGGCTGTTCCTGAGTTATGTCCTTTTATAATAAATTAGTAATCTAATGGGTAAAATGTTTCTCTAAGTTCTGTAAGCTGCTCTAGCAAGTTAATCAAACCCACAGAGAGGGTTGTGGAAGTCCCTGATCTAGAGCAGGTCAGTGAGAAGCACAGGTAGACACCCTGGACTTGTGATTGGCATCTGAAGTGGGGCTGCAGTAGGGAGGAGGAAGTCTTGTGAGACTGAGCCCTTAACCTGTGGAACCCAATGCTCTCTCTGGATAGATAGGGCCAGCACTGGACTGAATTCTGAGACATCCAGAAGGTATAGGAGAATTGGTGGTGTGGGGGGTATACCTCCCCATACCCACACATTTTGGGAAGAGAAATGATAAAAAGGGAGAGGGATGAGGAACCTTTGATCCCTGGATGGCTACCTAGTCACCTGTGATGTGAAACTGCAGCTGCACTGTTGGTTGGCAAAGGTAAAAGTTAAAATGGAGTTTACAGATGGTAGTGTTGGTGAAGAAAAATGTTCCTCTACCCTTCAAATGTTCTTTTGGATGGCCTAAGAATTCAACTGACATGAGACAGATTAACAGGAGAAAGTCAAATTTAACTTCATACATATGGGAACCTTTCATACATATGAGGTTCAAAGACAGAAAGGTAAACTGAGGTACATATGCCATCCAGAGCTAAGGAATAGGACAAGGGCCTGGGGCTTCAAACTGGGGAGAGGGCAATACAAAGGCCAATGAGAGCTGGTGTTCCCTGCCATATAGATAAGCCACTCAGATAAAATTTATCTCTACTAAAAACGCTCATTCTGGGAAAGATACCAATTTAAATTCTTCTAGGTAGTTAAGGGAGGCACAAGAGTTTCTCTTGAGCCTGCTGGGTCTTGATTTCCTTCAGCTCAAAGTAGTCCACATGCCAAAGTGGCACACTTTGGGGAGACTTGTTCTGTACCCCTTCCGTAGTAAACCCAACTCCTGAGGAGCTGCCTCATAGGATATGCAAGGAAATGCAAAGTAGTAAGAAGCATGTGAATCATACAATCCCTTGGTTATTATCCATAATAGAAAACATAAAAGTAAGAGGAAATGCTAGGCGGAGCCTTGATTTTGGGTGTTTGAGCTTGGGGCACTAGCCTTAAAGCCGCCCCAAGGGAACAATTATACCAGGACAACAGAAAGTACCTCTAAGGCCTCTGGAGTCCAGTGTGAAGGAGTTGTTTCATTGTGTGGATCTGTATCATCAGCTTCCTGAAGAAACTTTCCTAAGAAGAAATGAAAGAGGAACTAGCTGGGGGCTGTGTCTTTGGCTTTGAACAGTGCAGAGTGGAAGGGCATGTCTGGGGTGCTGCAGGACTCACAGCTCTCTGTGGAACAATCACAGGTGACTGTGTGACCCAGATGCAAAGCGGGTTATTCCCAAGGGAACAGCCAGCCTGGTGCACTGGATGAAAGCCACTGTCAGGTCTGTTTACCCTGAGAAGGGAGACTGTCTGTCTCCCCCGTGAATGCCAAGCAGAACACTCCAGATGAGGCGGCCAAAACGCTTTGCATGCGAGCCACGGGGGACTGGCTTTAAGATGACGGGGCTATTCACCCACCGAATATGCCCATTACCCAGCTCACCGTGAATGCTGTGGTTAAGGGGGCCCCTTTCTTGTGGGAACCCCATATAAGCTGGTTGCAAAACCAAAAAAACAGTCCAGAGAGCCTTAGTGAATTTGCTGCTTCAGCTTATCCTCATGGGTCTTACAGATGTCAGTAAAAATATTAGGCTAATTAACAAGGAAATGGGGAGAGCCAAGAGACTCTTCCCTACAAGGAGGAAATGTTGAAACATTTAGAGTAGTCTTCCCTTTATCCGTGGTTTCAGTTACCCACAGCCACCACGGTCTGAAAGCAGATGATCAACCTTCTGAATTATTGTCAGAAGGTTAATGGTGGCCTCACGCTATGTCACAGTGCCTAAGTCATTCACCTCACTTCATCTCATCACTTAGGTACTTTTATTTTCTGACAAATCACTGGTAGGGGAAATAGGCAAGAGAAAGTAAAGAAGCACACATCAGGAAATTCGTTAGCTTTCAGGAGTGGTCCTAGACTTACCATGGACTCTGTCCTATACCTTGTCTGTCTCTACCCCCAGTTTGGGAGAGTGCCACTCATCACTGGCATTCACAGAAGTGACCGCAAAGTCCTGAGAGTTTCTCAGCCATTAAGCTAAGATACAGTTTTCCCCCTTAGCTCCATAAACTATGGCAGTTCAGTGGACTCAGACATTCCAGAAATCTGTGCAGTAACAAAGGCCAGGAAAAAAAAAAAGGATTTCTGCCTCACCCCAAATTGTACCAACAGAGAGTTTTGGGGAAAAAAACAACACTATGTAGCCTACCCCTATTATTTGCTTCTAGCATCATTATTACTAATAACCACACTTCGTGGAGATATTAATTAGATATGAAAACAGGATCTATGATCAAAGGGGTTTTGGAAATGCTAGGACAAACTTAAAATGGTTTCTTCACTACAGGACTTCTCAGAGACTTTCATTATGAATCTACAGTGTAGGGAGAGGTTTTCCCAAATGTATTGCCCAGGATGATATTCCAATGAACAGAGTTTCAAAAGTGATGGCTCATTCCACTGCCCATTCTGTAGCACCCGCTTCCTGTCCCTCTTCCCAGAACTCAGGGAAAAATTTGGGGTAGGGAAACCAGACTCATGTGAAAGAAAATAGAAGCCGAAATGGGTTGATAAAAAGACAGTACTATTTGGGTTAAGCCGACCAGGCATGTATAACAGCAACTGGCCGCCTTGCTGGTGCCTCTCTCCTAGGAACTGCTTCCTCTCCTGCATTACTCTAGACACAGAATTCACATCAACCTGTTTCCAATATGAGGAGCAATTTTCTAGCGGCTTGAGCACCAGGAGACCGCATTTGTTCCCATCAAAGTGTTTGACAGAATTGAATACCTGAACCCAAAGTACCTTCCAGGAGGCCAGGTTCCTGCCAATTACCCTTTCATGTAAACTCCGCTGAAGAAGTTTATGAAATGCCTCCTTGCAAGTTTGTAGTGATTACTAACACCCCTGTTGCCAGCTGACATTTTGCTCCCATCATTTGCTCAGCAGGAACAACTGACAAGCACAGGCACCTGTCATACATGAAATTATATCTTGGGGCATCGGGTATGAAGAAGCATCTTTGTGCTAGGGCCAAATCAGCAGTAATATTACCTCAACTTTCCCTGTAGGTGTTGATGTTTTTCCTCCATAGAGATCTGATTCTAAACGCCTCAACTCATTTAATACCTGTGAAAATGCACACTGCTTAGTCAAAAAGACTCAGCTTTTAGAGAAGGGGAAAGTGAGCTCATTTATATAACTGACATTAACTATGGCATCTGCTTATTGTAGCCTTTTCCTTCTGATTCTCCAGAGATGCACTGCTATTCTTCAGCTTAAAAAAGAAAAGAAAATTTCCTGGTCACACTATTCAAGGGACCTCACCGTCCTTGCTGGCAGCCTTAGCACTAACAGTGGTTTGAGTTTGGTATTCCATACCGGGAGTACCTGGCCTTTGTCTACTGTGGAGAAAAGCAAATGGGAAGGTATCATCAGTCATAGGACACAGGACTTGTGGGTGGTAAATGGTGGAAGTAGCAAGAAGCTAACATGCTGGTTGTGCATCTCCTCCCAAGGTCCTGGCACTCAACTCTGGATACCTCCTGAACACACTGGGCTGTTCCACAGGCCTCTCAAAAACAAAATGCCCACACCTAAATTCCTTGCCTTCATATCCCCACTGCAACCTATTTCCCCTTTAATTCCTTTTCTTATTAATTCACACCCTCTCCCTCATACAACATAACCAGTCTCTTGCTCAGCTCTGTCAGCTTTACTTCCTAAATATCTCTTGAATCCATCCTCCACACACACACACACCATTGTCTTGATTCAGGCCTAAACCATCTCTTCCAAGAACTGCTGCCTATTTAAATGGTTTCTCTGCCTCCATCCAGTCTTGTCTTCACTCCAAACAATTTCCCACCTGCCATGTGGAAGTTTTTAAACACCAGCCTCATCTTGTCACTTCCTGACTTCATACACACCAGGAATCTGAATCTTCTCCTGTAGAATCCACTCCTTACTATAGCACA